TACTGCTACACTACTACTACTATTACTACGACTACGAATACTACGACTACTACTGCTACTACTACTACTACTACTACTACTACTACTACTACTACTACTACTACGACTTACTACTACTACTACTACTACTACTACTACCACTACTACTACTACTACTACTACTACTACTACTACTACTATTGGCACTGCTGCTACTACTACTACTACGACTACTAACGAAAACTACGACGACGACTTACTACTACTACTATACTACACTAATACTACTAACATACTATCAATACTACTATACTACTTACTACATAATACTTACACGACTACTACTACTTATAACTACCACTACTACCAACTTACTAACTACTACTCCTACTTTACTACTACAACTAACTACTACTTACTACTAGTACTACTATACACTACTACAATATCCTATCCTATCCATACTCCTACTCCTACTCCTACTCCTACTACTACTACTACTACTACTACTACTACTACTACTACGACTACTACTACTACTCACCATCACCACCACCACCACCACCACCACCATCATCATCATCATCATCATCATCATCATCATCATCATCATCATCATCATCATCATCATCATCATCATCATCATCATCATCATCATCATCATCATCATTATCGTCATCATTATCAGCAGCATCAGCAACATCATCAGTATCGTCATCCTCACCATCATCACCATCATCATCGTCTCATCATCAGAATCGGTAGCATAACCATCATCAGCAGCATCATCAGCAGCGGCATCATCGTAATCAGCATCAGCATCATCCTCATCCTCAGCATCATCATCATCGTGGTCATCATCAACATCATCAGCCTCATCAGCCTCATCTGCATACTCATTATAATCATCATCAGTCTCATCATCATCATCAGCAGCAGCATCATCATCATCATCATCAGTATCATCATCATAATCATCATCGTCGTCGTCCTCGTCCCCACCACCACCACCACCACCCTTCTCCTCACTCTTCGCTTGCATCCTCCTCCATTGTCCCCATCTTCCTACTCTTTCTCTATCCTTGTCCGTCAACTTCCAAGCTCCTCCTTCTCCTCCACCCCATCCCGTCCCCTGGCCTCCACCATCCTCCTTCACCCCCCCCTGCCTCAGCCTCTGTCCGCCTGTTCCCCGTCATCCTGCTCAGTCTGTCAACTTCCGTCCTCTGTCCTCCTCTGTCCTCCTCCTCCTCCGCCTGCGCCTCAGGCGACGACGACGGCGACGACAACGGCGAGGCCAGAAACGACGACAACGACGGCGGCGGCGGCAGCCGACGACGGCGACGGCGACGACAGCGGCCGACGACGGCGGGCGACCTCGACCACGACGACCTCCAGAGGTTTCTGGCCCGAGGGCCAGCCAGAAACGCCAATATCGGCTATACGCAAGAGTGACCCTGGGTAGGAGTGACCTCTGGTGCGCGACTTTTTGGGGGGCCGCGGGGGGACCAAACCTGGGTGCGCAAGCAGCTGCTACTGCGTGGTTTTCAGCCATCTGGGTACCCATCAGTGCCCGCACCAAAGGTCACTCAGGCGACTGGTCACTCTTACGTGTAGTCGACAACAGACCTGAACCCTCGACCACCGGACCACCTTCGGCGCGTCGATCGAAGTCCTTTCAGCACCCGGGGCCATCCTGCCGCGACCAGAGCCGCCCGCGGAGACGGAAGCCCCCAGAGGGCCCCAACGAAACCTCTGACACGACGACGTCGACGCCGCCGCTGTCCTCGATCCTCCCTCCCCCTCCTCCTCCTCCTCCTCCTCCTCCTCCTCCTCCTCCTCCTCCTCCTCCTCCTCCTCCTCCTCCTCCTCCTCCTCCTCCTCCCTTTTCCACAATGATACAATGTGAATGCTACTCTCCTCTCTCCCCTGATGACGTCCAGAAGAAATCCGGCCCCCCTCCGCGTACTGTTTTTTACACACAGGGTTCCTGGGAAATGAGTTTTCGCTTGGGTGTGTCTTCAAAATGTTGCTCCCGCTGTGGCGCTGGCCTCATTTTCAGGCTTCCGCTCGTTCCGAATCGTGCTCCCGCTGCTTCCGCTCGTGTCGTATCGCGCCCCCGCTGCAGCGCTGGACTAATTTGTTCCGCGCTTCCGCTCGCCCAGAATCGTGCTCCCGCTGCAGCGCTGGCGTCATTATCCCAGTGCCATGCCACGGCATGGTTCTCGACCCTTCCAAATAAGCCCCAGAATAGAAAAGGGTGCCCCACCGAAAAAAACATCGAAGGGATTACACGTTCGGTGTCGATTCGTTGATTTTGGGGCCGCAGAAGCCCCCCCACGTTGGAGCG